TATTTTCAAGTATTTCAGGATTTGCTCTTATTTTGAAAAGGAAATATATCAATATAGTACTTCTAAATTGTATAAAATTCTCTTATTTTAAACATTATATTCTCTCAACGACAAATTGAATACAAAAAAAATTAGATTTCTTTTATTTTGAGAAGGAATTGCTCTTATTTAAAATTCTAAACTGTTTTTACTCGTAACTTATTAGCTAGGGCAATTTTTTACTCCTAACTTGTTAGGGCAGTTTATGTTGCAATTTCAGGTTGAGACAAATAATTAATTTATGATAGAGAAATTCTAGAATTTCTTTGTATTCAATTTGTCATTGAGAGAATAATGTTTGAATCGAGTGCTTCATTTTGGTTAGATCGAGTTAGGTTACACCAGGGCGATCTAATTTCTAGAAAATGAGATCACAAATTATATAATGGAATCATTATACGAAGCGCATGGCATGTTGATTTCGATACAACGTTTGTTTAATTAAAAACAGTTCAGACTTTCTTGTTTTCGGCCAGCTATTCTTCATCTCTGTCAATCTCTCCGCTCATCTCTTTCCACGATTTTCTTTTCTTCTTCAATCATCTGCATCTCCTTCATCAAAATACTGAGAATTAGTCATGATTTTATTTTTCTTCATCTTCAAATAAAATATGGTTTTTGTCTTCTTCTTTCTTTTCTTTTTCAATCAAAATATTAATAATTAAACCACAATGTCATTTTCTCCATCTTCAAAATAAATCTGGGATTTTTTCCCTTCATTAATTCAAAACTAAAGTTTATTAATCTAAAATAAAATTTTATATTTGTATTTGAATTACATTTCTTCAAAGTTATATTTCTATTTGCCTTATGTTACATTTTCATCCAGCGTGATTTACATTTTTACTTGCCTCAAATTACATTTACATTAACATCATTTATATTTGGACTTGTCTCAAGTTACATCTTTTTTTACTCCAAGGGATGTCTGGGGGGCCTGGAGTAATCAGAGCTGAAACTCACTCCATTGAGTTTCGAACATGAAACCTTCCTTAAAAGAGACCAGCTGGGCAGGATCTCTTCCTCAAACTTGTCTCAAGTTACAATTCCAATACTCCTTACATTTCCACTTGCTCATGTGGCATTCAATTAACACGGTTTACATTTCGGCTTTCAACACGAAGTTACATTTCAATTAATGTGATTTATATTTTGATGAGTTGCTACATTTTGGATACACATGCGCACACGGCTTATATTTCATATATGATAGGTGAGAGAATAACCAGTGGAGGGAGTATATGTAACTGGAGTTACACTCTAGTGCTCGAGTTACATTTGCTGCTAACTGGGATTACATTTGTAGTAATGACTTTCAACACGAAGTATTTAAATCATAGTTAAATCACACAAAGGATTTAAATCACACAAAATATTTAGACAAAAATCATAGTTAATGTTCATCCGTGTTTTGTTAGTTAAAACTTAAATCAAATGATATCGTTTTAGTTGTGGGAGTATGATGTTCATCATGGGGCCGCTCCCACAGTATAGCAACTCAAGTGAGATTATGTGTTTGGTGTACTTTTAAATATAATAATGCACATCATATTACAAGTCCCTTAGGCCCCAAGGTAAACCCGGGTTGTTGCGCGATTGGAAGAAATATTGGAGTGAACCGGTAGAATGAAAATTTGCACAAATTCTATGCAAATTATTTACACAGAAAATACATGGTTTATCATATTTAGATTAGGAGCCCATTTTGTGACCCCTGTTTTTATTTATTTTTGAGTCTTATCGGTCAGTTTTTTGCCAAACACGTAACTTTATATTTCGTGCGTTGGATTCTGTAATAATAAAAAATAGTAGGGTTAGAGTTACTTTTCTAACTAAAGTTACTATAGAGGGTGATATTAGCTATTTTCATATAATTTTTTTATTTATTTTATTAATAAAATATGTTTTGAATATATTTTCTTCATAGTTCGGCATATTAAGCCAATTCAACTAGCACTTAGCAAATTCAAGTAGAATCAGCCGATTCAATCAATTTCAAAGTCCGTTTGGTGACCCTATTTTTCGGTTAATCAGCTAACTTTTTCACCAAACACACGACTTTTGATTATGTGCGTTGAATTGTGTAATATTTAAAATAAGTAAGGTTGAAGTTACTTTTCTGATGGAATTGACGAAGTTACTGTAGAAGACCATTTTAGCTATTTTCATATAATTTTCTTTATTGCAATAATAAAATATATTTTTAAAATAATTTTTTCATGAATCAACATAATAAGTCAATTCAATCGATCACTTCAGTCAAAACATTATAAATTTAAGGAGAATCTTCATTTCATGTTGAGAAACTGAGTATCTTCAGAATACTCAGAATCCATTGCCCTCTCTGTACACGGAGGGCATGATTATGAAGGATAGGAACTTGAGTACCATGACCAGGTTAATAGTCCAAATCTTACCATGGAACAGCGAAAGCGCATAACTATTGTTTTGAACATCAAGAGGTGCTTCTTCAGACCATAATGCTGCTGAACCATGCGAGGTTATTTCATAGAGTTCCCCCAAAATGGTTCCCTTCAAGTATGTGAATTCATCTACTGTGAAAGAGACTAACAAAACAAATTCATGGCAGTTCAAACTAATTCGAATTTGACTATTTAAGAAACCTGCAACCACATTCATTACTATTTTTGTTTGTACTTTACTACTTTGTAGTCCTTTAGTTCCAAAATCCTATTAAGGGTGTTATCCAAAATCCCATTATTATAGTCAGTAGCACTTTAGTTTATAAATGACATCGTGAACAAGAACAACGATGAAAATGAAGTCAAACTTCGAACTAAAGATGCAAAGGGGTATATGCCGAGAACTTAAAACGCAACAAAAACTCGGGCCAGAACTTATAAAATTTCATTTCAAGAAAGGGATATGGACAATCATAATGCTCCTTAGATCTTGAATCGCAGAGTGGATGGGTGATGGTGGGGGTTGTTTTTTGGCAAAGCAAGGGTTACATGTTTTCAGCAGCATTGCATCGGCATAGATATGATGATATACGGACAGGTCGCTTGGTGGGGGTTCTTACTTCACTTATTTCGGTCTCAGACCAAACCACATCAGTTCAGACCAGATCAGTAAAAACATCCTAAAACTAAGGATTACAAGAGCACTGGGGATGCCCAGATAAGAAAACAAAAAACACTATGCACAAACAACCTCACAAAACAAAGAGTTCCAAGGCTCAACCACAACAAAAAAAAACATTGCAGAGAACCAAAAAAGCACCCAACCTGCTGCAACAAAAAGGGGGAACAAAATACAGCCAACCGAACTTCTCATGCCCAAAATAGAACACCCGCAGTTAGGATCATAAAGTAATAATCTATGATGGGTATAAACTATACAAAATCATCTTGATTTGTGTAATCACTTCATCAGCATTGACTTTAATCCCTCCAAACAGTCCAGATATACTCACTATCAGTACATTAAAAAAATGCTCAACCATTTAGCAATACTTGTACACCTATTGCAAGCACCAAGCCCTTCAACAAACCAGAGATTACCTGCAATTGGTATTTGGTAACCTATTTCTAAAACACACCCATAAGGTAGAAGAAAAAACATGGGGGGATGTAATTCTTCCAGATGAAACTCATCTAGAGTCTAGAAGAGAATCTTTAAACCAGGCCAATTTATTGAGCAAGGGGGGGAGCACTTCCATTGGGAGACCACGCCCAAATAGAAACGTTTATCAACTAAATCCAAAGAGAGCCCTTTTTGTTTTTGAATATTTCATAGGGTCTTAGATAGTAGGCCAGCATTCCAACCCCCTTCCGTTTTGGGTTTGCAGATGTAACACCAAGCAATCATAACTCTTATCCCATCCCAAAGAAATTTCCTACAAGCTGAGTTAATCCTAGGAATAACCGTAGCCGGCGCCAAGAAGGCTTGCAACCAGAACGAGTGCACTCCTCGGATAACTGATAACAGATTTAATATGTTCTAATCTCCCAACGTATGACATGGGTTTGGATTTCCATCTAGTCACATACCCTGAGATTTTCTCAACTAAAAGGGGTACTAAGCAATAGACACTCTAAGAGGAGCTTAGTCCCCACATTCCTATTTGACTCTGATCTTTTATCAAACACGTTTTGTGTATCTTGGATTTCAACCACTCTTTCATCATTCGATGTAACCTCGTTGTTAGCTTCTAGCTCTGCCCTCGCTTCATCTCCCCCCCCCCCCCCCATTAGTATCTCGTTCAAGACAACCACAGCTTTAGTCTTACTATTGTTCTGATCTTCACCACACTTGGTACTTTATTAGTCATACCTTCCTGCAAGTTCCTTGAATCCGTTCTCCCCCATTAGGATAAGCCTTTACCTTCTTCCCCTAGTGCGAGGGAAGGACTCAAATGGTAGAAATGCCAGGAGAGCACACATGTAATGGGTATCAATTTGACCGGCATCCAAGTTTTGGAATGGCTGGTTATTCATTCAGTATTCAAAATTCTACCATTTTTTTTATTGGGCAAGTAGTTGATTCAACTCTCTGAAAAGCAGAATGATATGTGTTACTAAAACGAACTTTACTCCTAAGAGATTATTAGCAGTACGAGTTGAAGATGATCTATTTCGTGTAATCGTGTCAAATAATAGAATGTGCCACAATTCTAATATGTACAATTTCCCACAAGATGTACTTTATGTGTCTCCAATGTGATCATTTTGGAAACGGGTTATTTATTCTAAAAATCATATGGATAAATATCACTACAGCCTGATAAGTGATAAAAATAAGAATACGGAGTATAACTAATCAAAGGAAATGTGGAAATCAAGAAACCATGAGAAAGTTCATGTACGATTTTATGATGACTGTTAAAGTGGTAAGAGAAATATTCTGAACAATTTGATCTCATACTAACTTACTAAGTAGGCAAGTACTAACACCGGCATGAGTCGACTCAAATTATGATGGGAAATCCAGTCTTTCAATTGGCCATTAGTTTAAAATTGGTTTCGTTACCAAACATAGCATTAGTAGAGCCGTAAAGGTAATTAGAGGTCTAGCTATATGTTAATATATATGATCACAAAGAAGAAAGTTATACATAAAAGGCAATAAGTCTCATGAACCATTGCTAAAGCACTACAACCCAGTTAAAGCCAGCCCACTCCCAACCCCAAAGAGTACTAAAACGAAAATTTTCAAATTTCCTACACAATTGTGCCATTGCTTTTTCTTTTTCCTTTTTCTTGTTTTGCTCCTTTTTTGATGATAAGCCAACGGGTAGAACCACACAGATCAAACCTCCCACCAACTAAGGCACTGTCAGTTCCATTGTACAAAATGCACAAGTTTCCATTCTTGCAGAACTTCTTAGCCCCTGCTTCCAACCAGAACTTGCAAAGAAAGGTACAAGAGAGAAGTCTTCATCAACATATCCAAATAAAGAAAACTTTTCCATTGGATGCCCTCACGAACTTTGTTAACGAACATTATCGCCACTCCCTCACGCAGTTGATTCCAGACTCAACCTGCTACAGAGGAGACGGAGAAAAATACAAGCAAGAAAGTATAAAAATAACTTTAGCATATTTTAAATCATAAAAAGGGGTTCTTGAACAAAGGCATGCCTTATCGCTGGCTCCTGTGCAGTTTCTGGGCTTGCATTGTCTCTTGATGACCCAATTACCCTTGTGGGTGCAATGTTTGGCTACACGGCAGAAAACAACAAACAGGATTAAGTGGATAATTAGAAATAAACCTCTTAGCTTGTGAGTGTTCTTTATTTGAATCTCAGACATCGGAATTGAAAACCAGCTATAACTACACCCATGCATGAAGAATTTAGTGTCTTTATGAGTAGTAAACTAAAGAGAATAAAGAATTATAAATATCAAGCTATCGTTACGTCTAGACCCCTTAAGGCTTGAAATCAACCGCCTGTAAAACTTGCATCCTTTCAAAAATAATGGAACTTTTTTCATCTTGAATGAAATAATATGATACTTAAAACCAGATGAATTAACCAATACAAGCTGCTCTTGTATTTTGCAAGATCTGCATAAGGCTTGCCATATGCTTACAAATTTTAAGAACCCAACTTCAAGAATATCCTGAATTATATCAACAACATTCCAGCTCTTCAGTAGTCAGAAAGATCCTAACAAAAAGAAGATGTGAATGAAAACTGACATGGAAAAGCACATAATGACAAAAAAGTTTTGGTTTACAGAAGTACAAGGATGGTGATGTATTCATTGAAAGGAAACAAAAACTTCTATACTTCACCTGCAATTTCGGTTTATCAGGCAAGGCACTCCCCAGTACTCCGCTTTCATCTAGACATTCATCCCCTGGCTGTGCAATTTGCTCCCCTAAGCTTACATTACCCTGCAAGTACCCCTTTATTACTCACTATTGTAATACAGAAAAGCATATTCAAATATATAAGTGCAGATATTCAACAAGTCCTAGTTTTAGAAATAACATATAGAAATATCTTAAACTGCAAAAGTAATGATATACAGTAAAACCTAATTTTAAAATATTAGAAAACTATTCACTAGCTGGCAAAGTTTTCTGTTTTTGGAATTCAAACAATGGAAACAAAAAGCTTCTTTACTTTTCTGCTTTTCAAAATTTGAAAACAGTAAACAAGTTTGCTTCACAAATTTCACAAATTGAGAAAAAAGAAAACCCTTCTTCCAGCTTTTCCGATTTCTTCAAGCTTAGAGCATATTTTAATGTGTTAAATATAGAATTGTATTACAATATTAAAATATAATAATTATACTAAGTAGCTGTGGGAACATGAATGCTTTTTAATCATATTGGGCTGAGGCCAATTATTATTACATAGAAGCACTGTAATTGTATTTAGAGGTTATGAAACTGTGAAGTTATATCCATGGCAAGTTCCCTCATAATGGATCTGAATCCTCTCATAATGTGATGAGAGTATTCTAATTTCTGAAGATCAAAGTTATAGCAGTGAAGAGTTCGCTCTATCCTAACAGATTCGGATACTCTCCCAAACTGAGAGGCTTGACATTGAGCATGATAAAGAGATATATGCACAATTGATTACATGGACCCCATAAATGGTCACGGTCATGCTCAGATGATGATCCTGAACTAAACAACTAGGAACTAACCTCACTATTGATACAGATCTTGGAATATGACAGTACACTCTCGGCACAAACCCATGCACCCGTGTTCTCAAATTGTCCATTTAAACTACCAGACAACCCACTTCTCAATACATCAACAGTGCTCATATGCTCTAGTTGTGACTCCTTGCAAATGTCCAACATTGGAGATAATCCAGCAGAAGCAGGAGAATCTGAGCCTATCCGCTGTGGACTAACAGACATTTGCTTCCCAAGTTTGTTAGATTGCACATCATTCATTTCGTTATTGTGCTTCCTTTTGGGAAGCCTGTCTTCAGAAGACATGCAGTCTTTGATTTCCTTCTCAGGAGTGGGTGTAGTACAGTGTTGTGGGGTCCTGGGCAGTCGTTGTCTCTTATACCCTTCAGGAAAGACATAAACAGGAATTTGCTTTCTACGTACATGAGAGACAAATATATCCATCCCTGGTCTCCAATAAGAATACATGCTTATGTCTTGTTTGAACTCATCAACAGTTCCACGAATATCAAACTGCTGCCCTTCCTGCACTTGCACTCCTTCTTTCCTCTGAAGGCCCATGAAAAATGCACAATGTGGGCAAGGCTTAGATGTATCCACAAATTCATTTGGGTAAGGATGGCATTGCAACATCCCATTTGTGTCACGCTCAATCTACAGAGAAGACATGAAGCTAGAAAATAAGCATCCACTCGGGAAAAAGGGGTCCGAGGTGAAGGATGAAAAGGAGAGAACTTTTCATCACCACGGTCATATTTATAAAGACATTTTTTTCACCTTAAGTGTTAGTTGCCTGAGACGTGATTCAACCCATCCTTTCCATGCCAGTAAATCATAATTGTCTGCTGCAATAATGTCAACCTGAAGATAGTTTTTGTACACCTCAAAGAAAAAATAAGGCTCAAAAAGAGATACCCATTGCGACTTGTTCAACTCAATATCCTGGATGTAGAAATAAACAAGAAAACATAATCACACATTGCAGTAGACAGACAAAGGAGATGAATGCCATAACATAACAATATAACTTGGGAGTTTTACCTCACAAATCTTGTTACCAAATTCAAATTGGTCCATCATAACACGAAGGGTACTTGGTGAAACATTGTAACTAGAATTCATGCAAGGGTATGCAGGGGTAATTATTGGCATATGATGAGTTCGATCTTTAGGATTCTTGCGAGGATCCCAAACAAGAAATCCAAGTTCATCTTCCTCAATAGGGCATAGCATAACCGGATTCGGCCAGCGCCACTGTGTATAAACTCTAAAGAATCGTGAAACCAGCATACTAGGGACTGCATTGGGATAAAACTGGCAAACACGAGCAACTAAAAGAGCCCAATTCACACCACCAAGAAATCCAGTGACCTATTCGAGAGACACACCAAACAAAATATAAATGTAGATTTAACCATCCCAGAAAGAGGTCTGATAGGGTGGGGGTCAACTTACGTTTGAGTAGACGCCACGCCTTTTTGCCCAAAATTTCAAGCATCTAAGTGTTGTCCGGAAGTGCTTTAAACAGTATAAATAATAAATAAGGTTGAGATCAATAATAATCAAAGTCATGATGATTCAGAAACCTATGCTACCTCAGCATTGGGAACTAGTTTCAGAATCTGATCCGCAACCCTACACCCATTGAGGCTTCGGACTGTTGGCTCATCAACATTGTACAGCACAGAACGGTCAGAGATGTCAAAATCCTGTTGACATAGTGAAGACATAAAAAGGGTATTAAGTAGTAACGTTCAATTTATATTTAGTGCCTTTATATAGACATCATGTTAATATCTGACAAATTGACATCAAATTTTCTCGAGATTCAACAAATCCAATTGAGTTCTTTTATTATTTATTTAATTTTTCAGAGCTTGTAGTTCAACTGAAAATGCTCCAATTACACTTATTTATAAAAGAAATGCCTGAGTGTTAGAGAAAGAAATTCAGAATCCACCCTTTAGGCAATGTTGAGAAAAACTAACAAAATTGGTCAAAACATTTAAAATGGAGATGTATTAACTCTTCAAGACTAATAAACTAAGAGCCATAACCTATGTTTTGCATGACATAGCTAATCCTACATGAGTACATAGAGCAATAGAGGTTGCTTCATTGTAATGCAGCCTCACTGAATATACATTTTGATATTTTGATCACCGATGTACAAGTCTTTTATACTTCAGATTCTTTTAACGCACTAAAAAATGATCCCTTATGTAGAGCTACGTAGTTATTGTTAATCAGTAACTACTGGGTCAGAGGATGAGACAAAATTAAGACTGGAAACAAAACAAAAAAATATCTTTGCAATCTTGTTTAAGTAACAGTGAAGCCAGGGGTTCAAAAGGGCAAAAAGATGTAGATTCATTAAAGCTTACTTGTGGGACGACTATTTGGGAAATGCTTGCATATAGGAGGTCAATTGATGTTCCTTGAAATTTGAATTTCATAACAGGAACATGAGCCTCAGGAACAGGTTGAAGTTCAGTAACTTCTTCCATTTCAACTAAAATATCTCGCAGAATAATGAAAAAATCTTCCTGCAGAAAGAACATGCACCTAAGTGTAACTCTTTAAATGGTTAAAGGGCTAACAGTACCAAATTAAGCATATCTCATCCACTACTAAAAACTCACGTCTCGACTAATATAAGATGGCCCAATGCATAATGTGTCAATATCAGCTCCAGGTCCATGAACCTACAAGAAATATCACTTGTGGACACATAATGTGCTAAGAGAAACTTCAAGTTCTTACCATTAGAACAATTGAATTTCATAACCGCAAATTAGAGCTATATGTTAATATACTAAAATATAGAAATTTGGGTAGGATATGGTCATCATTTTCTCATAAACATAGTCGTAATGAATTAAAAGTTTAAAACCCCACTAACACAGATAACATGTTACATGAAACTTTGATACCCACGCTGCGCAAACCACACTTTCCAGGCATATATTGCGCACTAGAAGGCTAAAAGCTAAGATATGAAACAACAAATAGCCTAATTACCAAGTCATATACAAAAACCTAGTAAAAGTGTAAAACTGATTGGAGTACTTGCTTAATTTCAATCTTTTGCTGTCTGAAGAATTGAAAGTGGTAAATGCAGTGAACTGCAGCCTTAGGTTAATAGATAGTATAATATAACATAAATTTCAGTGGCCTAAGTCCAGGATTTGTCATACTCATAGTCGTAATGAACCAAAACCCAATTAACTTATTGCTTCAAACATTGATGCCTAATTAGGATCTATTTATTCCTTACAGCCATGTTTTGCAGTAAAAGCTATGATGTGAAACATCCATCGCCTAATTTCCAATTTCATATTCACCAAGCTATTAAAGCTACATACCACCGGGCACCGGTTGGAGTACTATATGAGATTTGCAATCTAGCAAAGCTACATACCACTGCTTGGAGTACTTTCTTCAGCATATGGGATTCGCCAATATTGCACATGAAGTAGTCGAGCACAAATTATATGAATCTTTGAAGTCATGCTATTTTATTATTTATCGGAATCAACATCCTAACGCGTGCCTAAAAGGCAGTATCTTATACCTTATCCAACAACAATGCTATAAAGAAATGTTAATAGATTCTCCAAGAGGAAGAACTTAAGTACAAAGACCAGGCTAATAATCGAAATCTAGCCGTGGAATAGCTAAAGCGCATAACTATTGTTTTGAATATCAGTAAGTGTTTCTTCATATCATAATGCTGCTGAGCCTTGGGGGACGGGGGGGGGGGGGGGGGTCAAGAGACTAACAAAAAAAAATCAATAATATTTCATGACATTTCAAATTTGACTATTTAAGGAACCTGCAACAGCATTCATTTTTTTAGGTCATCCGTCATTTTTGTTTGTAGTCCTTTATTTCCAAAATCTAATTAAGTGGGTCTACTTTCAAATTTCTGATGCCATTGTTCATGCTAAATTAGCTTCCTTGAGTTCATAGCTAGGTAAGAGCCTTTGAGACTTAGGAGTTGGGACAATTCATTCAAGACTGCCAATTCAGATTAATACATTGTCCTATTAAATTCAAATAATTAACATATAAAGACGGACAGCCCATTATGTGTCTCCATCCACCATTTCCTTTAAGCTATTTTATCAATCATTGTCAAACACTCCCCGACTGATCATTCATAAGATCAGGAATTACGCTATTACAAACACTGAGAATAATAAGCTACAAGCCTACAATGCAGTTTTTAATGGATGTTTCATAACATTGAAAATAGTTAAAATCCAAAATGCAAAAACAGTGTCATGGGACAAAAAATAGCGAGCTACTCATATAGTATCATGCGTTTGACACAAACTATCCTTGTTGAAGTTTATGATTTAATGGCATGCAAACGTTCATCTGACCACAGGGGCTGTCTAGTGAAGAGACAACAAACAAATAGATTTTACAAGAAGATTTGAGCATCTATAACTCAATCCAGAGAATAAAAAACTATGCATTAAATTAAGAGCCAGATAATTTGCAAATTTTATATTTTATAAAAACAAAAAAATAAAACCTTGACACAATAAACCTTGTGTCCTAAATTATAACGCACATAAAATAACAAAAAGATTTACTTACACCTAACTGATAGGAGCCAAAAGTTAATATAATAGCATTTGCATCTTCCACCATTTGATCGGAGTAACCTCGCTGGCGGGTCAATTGCTTTACCCAGAGCTTCACAATCTGAAACACATAATTCAATTCAGAAGGGTGAGTGACAAGAAAATAGGTCATTGTATTACTGCCAAATGTATATTTGACGTCATCAAGCAAGAGAATAGCAAAGAGGGATAAGCGGGTTACTCTACTTCCTATTTCCTTTTCCTAATAATAGGATACTTCCCAAGTACAACAACCACAACATTACCACAGTGCCGCAAAGGATCCCACCTACGGTGGGGTAAGAGGGGGGTATGATGTACGCAGCCTTACCCCTATACGAAAGCACAAACAGACTGTTTCCGGATAATCCAGGATGGAGTGAGAGTTCCAAACAGGACTATAGAAATTTCCTAAATTGACATATAGACTCACCATCACACATAGTAAGATGTGGGGCTTGATAAGCTTGTTGAGAATTACAACCTACATTAAGTACAAGATGCTCCTTTTTCTTTATTGCATCACTTTACCAAAAGAGACACCTTGGTAAGACCAGCTACCTCATTAACTTTGGGTTGTTTGAATGACAACAGAGCCTAGTAAGTAGTAATCATGTTCACATCTAAAGCATGGAAATATGATCAGGTTGCAAATAGTAAGGATGTGAAGTTTGTCAAATATATAGTGCATAAAGAGTTTTAGAAACCATGGGATTTCCTTGAGGCGTATTGTCCGTTAGTGAAGCACTTCGTTAAGGGAGTGTTTGCGATTGCTTCAACTTTAATAAAGTGATTTTTTAAAGTGATTTTGGGAAAAGTGATTAATAGTAAAAGTTGGTAGTGTTTGAGAAATAAGTGATTATGAAAAAAGTAAAAGTTGGTAGTGTTTGATAGAATAAGTGCTTTTTGTGTAATAGAAAAAGTGAAAAGCAGTTTAAAGCACCTCTCAATCTGCTTCCAGCTTTTAGCTTTTGAGTGATTAATTAATTTAAGCAGAAGTTGTCATTTGAAAACACTCATTTCAGCTTTTTTTAAGCCAAAAGCTGAAAAGCACTTATTTTAATCTTTAGCAAACACTCCCTAAGTAGATTCTGATAGTATGCAAGAAATGTGGTCCATCCATGATGAGATGCACTTCTGAAGAAATCGCACAAAATGCCTCCAATGGTGTTAAGGAAAGGTAAATTGTTATTCAACGTTGTACAATATAGGAAATCATTGATCAAATATAGGACAGCAGCCGGACAGCCAAATATATGTCTTTGCAAGCAGTCAATTTTTACCTTAACCCTGTTTGCATTATAATCCTTACATAGTGGAAGGATTGTTTTCCAGTTTTCACCTTAAAGCTTTTAAAAGTGAACTGGACTTTTTGGGCAGTTTGATGGGAAAAAATCATATCAGATGAAACCAATAAAACTCCATTAATGGAGATTTTGTGGCAGTGAGTGCCAAGAATTGCAAAAGTTTGCTTTCTGCATCTTAAACATGACATGCAGTTTTTCGTAATGTGAAAGGAAAAGGAATGTGTTAGACAGGGTGAAAATGTTAACTTTCAAAATTATAGTGGATCTTATTCTTAAAGTTGGTTGGTGACAATCATGTAATTATGTGATACTACGTTTGTTATTGTTTTTAAGGGGTAAGCACCAAGACAATAAATTGTTCCACACAGAAGAGATACATGTGTGATCTGTATTATTGGCAAATCCAAAGTTTGGCAAGAAAAGGAAGTCAGGTAAGCAATAGTAAATGGTAAGAATGGCCTTGATTTTGAAGATAACAGGATTGCATACAATAATGATTACTCAAATTCGGATATTTCAAACAAAGATTTGTATCCCATGGGAAATTATGTGAATTATGGTGTTTGTTTGGCATCTTTAGATGGTTTAGATATTTGAGATTTAGATTATCTTATACGTGAAGATGCCATGAATAATGACGAAAATGAAGATTTTTCACATGAAGAAAAATTACTTAAGACTACTAACTGGTGAAGATGCTTACTATGATTAAAAAAAATGATTGAATAATTTGCTAGAAGTGTAGAGTTTGCTGTGTTCTTATACATTTTAGCTTAAACATGAATTATTACTTTGTTTTAAAACTAAGATCTTATGAAATCATCGTTTCAAATGACGAGTCTCGAGTTTGAGGCAGTACAACAACTTGTTGACTCGTTGAGCTTAAGCCTCGGGTAATTGGATTGAGACTTGTGGCCCACACACCTCAAGGCGCTTGTTCTAAGACTTACAGCCTCAAATTCAAAAAAAAAAATATCGTGTCTTGGGATTATAGTTTACATTTGAAAGACATATTCGGCATTTTTATCATTAGTCAGCAAGCTTAAAGCCCACCAAAAGCCAAGAGTTATAGTGTTGTGAACGTTCTTTAGCTTCTTGGTTACCCAAAGTCTTAACATTATTTTGTGTCTAAGTAGCTTATGACTTTTGTTTTCTTAAATATCATGTGTCACATATTTGTGATTTCAGTTTTTAAGAGCTTATAGTTTTAAGGCTTATGCTTATGCAATTACACTTCATAGCATCTCAAGACTTAAAACCGTCTTTTCAAGCCTTATATGAAAAGAAATTGCTCTTATTAGGACTAAAACATAGAGAAAGTGCACATACAACCAAAAGGAATACTTATAATTTATTCCCAATATGGGACTTACTTGATCCTATTAAAAGTGTAAAGCCTTCCCCAATTAGGAGTGAATGAATACTATTTTAGGGGAAAATATGGGTGGTCCTATTTGAACATTTTTCTATGTTTTAGCCATATTTAAGAAATTTTCTCTTCTATGAATAACGACTTTTCAATATTCATAAAATTTTTAACTTTACTTCATCACGATATTCTTTATCTATATTCAAATCCGTCCTTTGCAGTTCAATGAAACTTCTAGTGTGATTTCAAAGTATGCAAACTCCAATCAGTAACACCAATTTAAAGACTATGTGGAGAGAGTCAACTTCATACTAGGTCAAGTCTCATATTCTGAAATGGAAATAATATTATGAACAAATTATTTTTATGCATATGTGTTAGTTATCAAATCTTACTAGTCTTGTTTGTGTTTACGCTGCATCTATCATAAGATCTAACACCCCTTACGTGCACTAACCTTGAAACATGTGTTTGCAGCATTGGCACTTCATATCTCATTAAAAAAATATGTGGCAATACAGGTTTCTCACCTGTCTACACATGAGAAAATCTGAGGTAGATACTTAATAGCCATTTAGGACTTCGCATTAAATGGTTTATGTTGAATAGATTGAAAAGGTGATGGTGTTTTCCCCTGGACAGTTGAGATAAACAGGACTTAGCTCAAGCTTCTCATTATCATCTTTGGGTTTTAACCTAGAGAGTTGCAAGTTGCAACCCACTAAAACATATTCAGTCCCCATAGCCTTGTAAGTCTAAACTCTGAAGTCTTCAATCAAGGAGCAAAAAACAAATCTTCCCATTCCATGTTAGTACTACACCTAGAGATTATCTGCCTTCCAAGACATCTAATATATGCTTTCCTACTTCACGAATTAAATGGACAACCAAAAGTTTAAAAATTATAGCTTAATCTTACAAGAAGTTATTAGCACATACTTGTCTGATTACCACCACTAATTGTTGAACTTAGCACATTACCTGGTCAAGTCGGCACAGCACCTCCTCTCTCTTTCCAGTTTCTTCATCACTCTCGTACAGCTCTGAATCCCTCAGAAACTTCAAATCGAAAGTCAACAAAGTTAATTCAAATTCAATCCCCAATTTGGATAGAAAACTTCATCTTCCCCAAAAGAATGTAACTTCTCGAAAAAATAAACCAGTCGAGAATAAAAGCAAGTAGATTTACGAAAAAAATCACCTTTTCGAGTGCTGCGTTTCTATGAAGATCTGCCTCGGATGGCCCACTCAGAGACAAAGGCCTTGTTACTCCGAATTTCTTCAGCGGCGGCGCATCAGTTGATGCAGGAGAGGTCTCAGCTGAGCTCTCAGAGCCCACCGTCATAGGTATGTTTTTCTTCTTGACAACAACAAGAGAAAAAGTCACGCACTGATGCAAATTTGGAAATCTGAAGGAGTTAGTATATTGATTTTAGAGATCGCGACCCCAATTAATTGCCTGAGCAGAAAATTGAAGAGCATTTGTTTCTTCTTTTTTTGGTTTTTGTTTTGTTGGATCATTCAGCAAAGCAATCAAATAAAACCCTAATCTACACGGAGAAAGGTATTAATGCAAGATTGGGAGATAGACAGAGAGGGGAAGATCTGAGATAGGAAGAAAGAGGGTCAATGCAAATCGGTTTGGGGTTTTTGATGAGTTGGTGGTAATTAGATTTCTGTGGAATTCGGAAATAATAATATCAGTCAAATGCCAATTTTATACTGGTAATACCGTCGCGTCTGTTTCTCAATTTGTACTTCCCGTATATCACATTAAATATTTAAATTAGTGTATGATGATACAGATTACAGTATATGATTGGAAGTTGCCCTAAATGGCTAAAAAAATCCTAAATAATGCTAATTAAATAATAATTTCCAGAATAATGTTGAACTAAAAATAATTCCCAAAATATGTTGGAGCTAATCACGGTTAAGGAAAATCGTCACTCGAAGTAACGGTTCGTCTTGTGCAATACAAAAATCGTCACTCCAAATAGCGGCTATCTATGAAGCACGGATACTTCCCTAGGGTAGCGTATCGGCGTATCGGATACGTTCCCGTATCCGATACTCTAGGATACCCGTACCGTACGTTCCCGGGCCGTATCTGCAATTTTTAAAAGTTTCCATTTTTGTTTGTAATTTTTTGAAAGTTTCCGATACTCGTATCCTGACGGATACCCGTATCAACCATTTTTTAAAAAAAAAAATCCCAAAATTTACTTAATAAAATTCAAAAAAAAAAATGAAAATCTAAAACTACATTTTACTTGGTAATCAAATAATGGGCCTATATGGCTATATCCGAATTAAGTCATTAACTCATACTCCGAAGTGGGTACTTGCACTTTTAATTTCAAGATTGTAGTTGTTTGACTTATTTCACATTTTAAATTAATGACTTATTGACTACATTTATATTTCGATATACACTAGTGTATATGAGAAATATTATGAATTTATTACTAAGTATCTTGAAAAAGGAAAATGCTTCAATGCAATGAATGGGTAGACATCATAGGATATTATATGTATATATATATATATATATATATTCAAAAAAAATCTATTTTTAATATTTATAAATAGACCCCTATAACTTTTAATATTTGTAAATACACCCCCATAACTTTTAATATTTATAAATATGGCCCCGTATCCGTATCCTACTTTTATTGGTTTTGACGTATCCCCGTACCCGTTTCCGCGTTTCCGCGTTTCCGCGTACCGGTATCGGTGCTACATAGGCGGCTATTGTGTTCAGTAAAGACATGTGTAGGCCATTAAACGAAAAAAACATGCTTCTAATAGTGCAGTCAACAAAAACGTGCTCATTACAGTGCATTCAACTCAAAAAACAACATCTTATCTTTATAGTTAATATACATTTCTACAAAAACAAAATACTCCCTCCGTCCCAGGGAGAAGTTCCCGGGTTGACTTTCACACATATTTAGGAAATAAAGTTACTGAGGGGTAAATTTTACTGTTTGGCACTGTTTCGACACTGTTTGGCACTGTTTCGACACTGTTTGGCACTGTTTTGCACTGTTTGACACTGTTTTGATGTAGGATAACTTTCCATTTAGGGAAATGAGAACATTTTGTTGGGACTACCAAAAAAGGAAAGTGGGAACTTCTCCCTGGGACGGAGGGAGTATATCTGACACACAAAACCAATCAATGAAACTTGGATCACAATACTTGAAATACCATATAAAGTTATAAAGTTGATAATAAAGTGGGTGTTTCACAAAATAATTTGATCAGCTAGTGCATGTTTCACTCAATAATGTAAAGTACAAATATCACAAGTCAACATGATCATCATCGTAAAGCTCGTGTGGTTGTGGGTGTGCCTGTGGTCGGTGGCGTTTGTGCTGGTTACGAGACTTTAGAACAACTCTATCACGTCGTAGTGCCTGAGAAGACCCTGTTGTGGATGTAGATGTCATGAAATACTGAGAGGCGACCATATATCCATAATCTACCCGGCTCAATACATCAGCACACAATCCAGTAATGTCCGAGCATACCTCATGATATCCATGTACATCTATCGTCTCATCAAGTACATCAATCGCTCTGTCATGGATGGTACGCAAAGCCCGAATCTGTAATGCAAACATGGTTATTAGTGAATATATTGTTTACCATCATATGAAGAGCGACTGAGCTAGGCTAATAATGATCGGTGGGTAGATGAAAACTGTGAGAGATGAACACATGTGTGATAGTGTAATATCATCTCATGTAATCCGCAGAGGCTGTGGGGACTATTGATGGGGTCTTGTGCACTATATACACCAATCTCTCATCCCACATGATGATATACTGAATATGACGCATCCCCCACTTCGGTGAGCTTCTTTCATCTGTCGATCTTGTGTAAGTCCACAACCTGCTGCAACCTCAACTGTTGTAATACGCGATCAGGAAAGTGATGCTCCATTACATCAAAACATATCAAGGGCACACATGTTTGTCATGTCTCAGTGTGCCCTTGCTCAACATGAGGCAACTGTCCTAGAATCTCATGAATGCACGACATCTATAATACATAATATTGTGACATCATAGTTTATAAAAACGTAAAACAAAGTACTTACACTTAATGATATATGGGGTACACCTGATCATCACACATGCGATCTAATGCATCTCGATAGTAACCTAACACAGCAACGGATAACGTGCGCATGACGTCAGCAAAAAGCCACCTGGCACACATTAATGTACAAGAATAGAAAATGGGTTCAAGTACGTCATACATAAATTTGAAAAAAAAAAAAAATCATAAACGTACCTAGGACCCAAAATACCCAGTGGAACTTGATAGGGTGAATTTCCTATTATGTATGTTTGTATTTTTAACTAGTTTTATTAGTTCTAGTTGTAGAAATTACACACTTTTGGTGTAATACTTTATTTTCATTAATTATTTGTAATTTATTTAGATTAGGATTATATTGAGCTTAGGACAGGTGAAAATCATCCCAAGAATCAAAGGATGGATCCTAAAGACCAAAGAATGTGCAAAAAGGAGATCAAATGAAGATTTTGAAATTTGTTCAATACTCGGTCGAGTATTGCCAATACTCGGTCGAGTATTGGCCTGATACGCCGGTCAAAATCAAATCTGGGAGCAAAAGAACGTGGCTGAATATTTGATGAAAATCCTGTTGCATACTCGGTCGAGTATTAGCAATACTCGGTCGAGTATGCCTATTTTTCACAATTTCCTGGAAATTTCCTCTCATACTCGGTCCAGTATTGCCAATACTGGATCGAGTACCGAACCCTGCCACCTCTATTTTGCTATAAATACACCCCTTTTCCTTCATATTAAGGGAACCAATTCACATATACTCTTTGGCTCAGTTTAGATTAGTGTTTTCTTTATATTTTCTATCATGTTTAGTCTCCAAATGAGGAGCTAAACTCTTCCATCTTGGTTTTGCTACTTTGAAGCTTAATGAATTTGTAAGTTGTGAGTTATTCTCTTTAATCGTCTTCCTTGAATATTAATTCTTCCTTTAAATACTATTTCTATATCAATGTTGGAGAGTGTTACTAAGATGACAATTAGTTAACATCTTGACATTAGTTATAGTAATAGCTATTTCTTCCTCTATGTTAATATTGGGGAGTGTTACTAAGATGACAATTAGTTAACATCTTGATATTAACTATAGTAGGATTCATCTTCTTTAATATTCTTCCTTGAGTATTAATTAATTCCTATTCATATTTCATATTAATATTTTGAACATTACTTAAAGGATCAACTAGTTTTGTTTCATATGTTAATTATTACTAGAATCGGTCGATTAATACGCTTGTTATTAATTCGGTCCTTTCACGGTAGTAAACTTGGGTTATTAGTGCATGCGTTTCATGGTTAATAAACCAAGGGGAATTAATTATATTGATTAAACCAATAAATCGCTTGTGTTGAGGTTATCAATCTCAATCGTTTTCATCTTGATTTTATTGCTACTATCGAGTGAATATACGGCGCGTGTTCTATATTAACTCGGTAGTAAGTTTTATTAATGAACGCGTCTCGTTATTAATAACTACCCTCGATGAATTGGATATACTCCTCGATTGAGTATTCGAGAGGAAGATAGTTAAAGATATAACCGGGATCGACGAACATTTCATTAAGTGGATAAAAGCAAAACCAAGTCTCCTTCTCATTAATTAAACCACATAACTCGTTCATCTTCGTGCTTAAGTTTAATTTAAGTTCATAAACCAATCATAAAACCTCCCTTGTTACTTATTTCTAATTATATAAAAAGAGAAGTGTTCCTTTCCCTGTGGATACGAACCTTACTACACTATACTACGTAGTAGTGTCGTATTGTATTATTATTTTGAGTGCACGTTACGACAAAGTGCACGTCAGAACTCCCTACGCGTCCTTATGATCTTCTAGCACATGTCGCCCTATTATCTCATATTTGCTTGCATAAACCACATCTCACAGTACCTCTAGGACCTTCATCCATTTAGTTTCTTAACCGTGTAGCATTCGGGTGACCTTTAGCGCGAATAATTGACGGGAAAATTATGTTTTGTCTAGTAAATAATATGTAATAATAAAAGTAAGGAATTATGCATTTAATTAAAAAAAATTGTGTTAGGTTAATATATTGACGGTGCTGGGTTGCAGGGAAAAATTGGATTGACTGAGTGAATACATATAAACTAGTGTAGAATTAGATTTATTGATGGAGAGGGTTGCGGTTAGCCTAACTTCCTTAACAATTGACTCCCTCTTTTCTTAATGTCAATAATTGGTCGCTTTCCTAAGACTTCTCTCGATCGATCCTCCTACAAATGTCACCACCGCTAGCCTATCATCTCCCGCCTTTGATTATCTCTTGCTCTCTGCTCTCACACTCTCTCAAGGGTGAGCCATTAGATGTCATCCTCCTCCTCTTATTCTCTTTCTTCTTATTGAGATTAGGATTTGTGAGAAAGGACATCACATTTGGTTTTCACTCAACATCACTGAAGAAGGTGGATATTTTGATTGAGGTGTTAGTGAATTTCGCTCCACGGTCTACCCAGTGATGGCTCCAGAGAGCTGGTGTTCACCCGGAACACCAATAGTAGAGGCCGGCCATAGTCTCCAGTGACTGAACTTGTGCATTGAATACATGCACCGATGGAGGGTGGTCTGCACTAAATAAAAAAAGGATAGTCTCACGATGTCTTTTTTGAAATCCCGTTGTCTTCTTTGTTGTGTATGACAGTGAGTAGTAACACTTGCATAGAGGACGGAGACATTAGCACAGAATAGGAACACGGGTGGGAATAGAAGTAACGTTGATGTGAGTACTAGTAATTCCGGCGGAGTACAGTGATGCCGACAAAGAGCAGTTGCGTTAACGCTCGACCTCGCCACTTTGCCTTCTCACCCTCTACCTAGCAACGCCACCTCGCGCCTCCACCTACCAAAGCTGCCTCAAGCTGTATTGGGTTATTGTAGGTCACATTTGTAAGTTTTTTACTAAGATTCATGGCTCATTCAACTAATTTTCACTTCCATGAACTTAAAAAGAGATGTTCATTTGTTTTAATTACTTGGGTTTAATTTTTGGATTTTAAGGATATCAGAAATGGATGCATCTGGGCCTGTGCACCGACCATGTAGTTATTCGTCGCCCACTGTTCAATTATTATAGGTATTTTCTCAATTTTGTCATTTCAGTTACTTTATTTTAATGATATATTGACATTACAAGCAAAGTAACATTTCTTGACACACAAAAAGTGTCAGAAAAAATAGGAAAAGTGTCAAGATAGACACCCAAGAGAATTGCCAACACATTTAAAAAGTGTCAAGAGGAAAGGTTTTAGGAAAACTATTACTAACACTCAAATACAAGAGTTAGTAAATCTCTTTACAGCTTTAGTGACACACAATTGATACAAACCTAACACAATCTTTGTGTGACAAGGAAGTTTTAAGGTGACATTCAAGTGTCAAGAAAAGTCATGTTCAATAGTAATTTGTGGACAATAAGCTAATTATAATTATTCTTATAGTTGGATATATATATATATATATATTATAGACTTTTCTCTCAAATTCTATAATTTTTTCTCTCAAATTCAAATAAGTATGTAGTATGGTATCCAAATTTATTTAAAAACTAGTACAAACTAAGTACACAAGAGTAGTTCATAATTTGATACATACAAATTGAAATAAGTTGTTCAATCAATACAAACTATATACTAAATCTCTAATTAAGTCCTTCGGGTTGATGGCTTTGACTCCTTCGAGTTGATGACCTTTTGTGTGTTGGAGAAAGTTCACCACCGACCTGAAAATATCACCACAAAGTAACATAAAATTTATCTAATGATCATTAATTACAACATAATCCACCTCACACAATATATTAATGAAATTTCTCATTAACTATAACTTATAAATTCTAATCATGCGATTTAGATAGGCAAGTTTTCTCCATTTCGGTATTTTTATTTCCCTAGCACTTAACTGATGGGTCTGTAAAAATGAGTATTTACATAGTCTTGACTAAAGTATTCACTTTTACAGACTATTGTTAAGAATATTTTTAGAGCAGATTCTTTCCATGTTAATTGTGAGCAAAAACAAAATTAAGGATAATAACACCACACAAATTTCATTAATCTAAGAAACATGCAGCTATATGTATTATGTATTAATTTTCATATATGCATGTAAACTATAAATTAAAGTCAAACACATTTACCTCATCATTCAAACCGCTAAGAATTGTGCATAGTTGTTGAGGAGGGAGATTCTTTTTTAAACCACCTAATAGAATATCAACCTTTCTTGAAAGTGTAGAAACTTAAGCTTGAAGAATAGGAACTTGTGGATCTTGTATGAGAACTTGTGGTTGTAGAGAGGACAGAGCACATTTATGCAGAGCATGAATGCAGGGTCTTTAGAATCATGAGTACCATTTACCTCATTCACCACATTATGAAGAATGAAGAACTTCCTAAATACAGAGAATAACATTAGATCTTACTCAGTTTCCGAAGCCTTGAATACACTAAAAGACTAAAACAAAAAAATGAATAACTTTCCACGTGTTGGTAGTACGTCGTCAGGTATGGAGCCAATTGAGTCTCCTGCATCAGGTATAACACATATCTGAATTAGCATTCTATAATACAACTCCAATATTTCTTCATTCTTGAGCACATCAAGTTCCCCTGGTCCAAAAGAAGTGTGAGTCCCTCCCAACCAAAATAACATACATGTAAGATAACCCAAAGCTTGGAGCTTAATTAAAACAATCTTGCTGATAACCCAAATCGAACATTATTAAGATCCAAACATTTAAAGGCAGTATAACTTCTGGAATTAAGGGTATTTACTGATGATGCATAAAAGGGGAGAATGAACCACTATTGTAGGTGAAGGGTAGTCATCTGATCAATACCATTCTGATGAGTATCCCGAATAAGGGGGCGATAATCCCCAAGAAAGAACCGTTTAAATCAAAAGAAAAAGGAGAATGAAATGTTTGTTCAAACCTCAAGACTCAATTGTAGCCTGTGGATTAAATATAACATAGATTTTGTGTGGATTTTGTGGGGTTGACATAGCTACCAAGTAATAAGGAGTCCAAGAGAAATGAGGTAAGGGTCAGATTGGTACTCGAAGTTGCATAAAAAGGGTCAAATAAGTCCTTACTGTCCGGACGTCGCCATTTGGGATGGTTCCCATTGTAATTTTTTGATGAAATTTTTTGAGCATCTTATTCATTAAGTCTAGTTTACTCATACCGAATTTCAGCTAACAATTCAACCTAGAAGGCATTCAAATGAATTTTTGAAGATAACTGCGCAATTAAAAGCGCAGTTGTCTTCAAGAATTCATTTGAATGCCTTCCCGATTGAAGTTTTAGCTGAAATTTGGTATGAGTAAATTAGACTTAATTAATAAGATGGTCAAAAAATTTCGTCAAAAAATTTCATCGGGAACCGCCTCAAATGGTGATGGTTGGACAGAGTCTCCTATATAAGGACTTATTTGACCCCTTTTTTTGCAACTTCGAGTACCAATCTGACCCTTACCTCCAAGAGAAATTAATGAATGTCTATCCGGTGTATGTGTGGATTCTATGGAATTATTAGTACGTATCTGAGTATCTTTCTTCTATAGTCATTTCTCTAAGGGGCTAAATATTTAAATAGCTATTATATTTTCGTTCATGCCCTGGTATCTTTGTACTACTTCCTGATATGCTGAAATTTTCAATTACAAACCAACATTGTAAAGTAACTATTTTTTTTGAGAGGTAAAGTAACTATTATTAATAAGCCTTGTTACAACTTAAAATATATGAGGCCCCATAGTTATGAGGCCTTAGGCAGTTTCCTGGCAAAACTATCCATGCAGCCAACTCCGAACAGAATACATGATTAAAAGAAACAAAGAAATAGTTATTACACATAAAATGGACATTGAATGACAATATCCCTGTAAAAACTAAACGCTAAATTTTAATATCCAGAATACACACTACAATTACCTTCACAATGCTCCATAAATTTTCCTTTATTGTATAAGAGATTAAGAGATATCTCTCCAATCATGAATGTTTATTCCAACATGACTTGGCATCTTCACAAGGGTGCCCAAGAACTGAGTAAGTTAATTTCCTTCTTCTCCTATTGGAGTGTTATTGATTGAGACGACGTTCAACCTCTTACGCGCCATCCCTAGTCAACACAATACAATATAGATTAGTATTACACCATTTAAGTGAACACTTATTCAAATATCTTTATTACATTATAGCAATAGTTAGAGAACCAAATAGAAAGCCATCGGAAGAGGGGTGTGTACCTGGTCAAGATCAGTAACACATGCAAATAGAAAACTTCAAATCAGACAAAATGTTACAATGTCATTGAAGCAAAAATTATTTATACAGAATCAAGATAAAACTAGTAGAGGAAGTTCCAATAGTAAACATTTGGTAATATACTCCAAATATAACACATAACACGAGTCTTTAATTAATAAGAAGTGTGGCTATTTATGTAGCAGTTTTACTGGTTTATTCATCTTATTCATCACTAACTTCCACTTCCGTTGTTGGAGTGACATAAATTTCATTATCCTCATCATGTCCAACTCTATGCAAGTCTAGAAAAACATTCTTACAATGAATCTACAAGAGCCTTTATGTTGTTTTGATTCTTAAACTACATATATTCTGAACTTTTATTCCTTATTTATGTATTTTAATCTAAAAAGGAGACCTTTAATTATATATCCCTGTTTGATTCAATAGCTTTTCACATCTCAACATTATTATATTATTAATCACGGTTGAGAAGTAATACCTACATTATGAGATAGGTTTATTCGATGCTTAATAACACTCTAAGAAATGTTTTGAATAGAAAGACACGAGATTGCTATCTCAATTTGAACATTTGCAGCCTAGTTTAAAATTAAAAGAGATTTCAATTTATCTTCACAAAATGAAAAGTTCATTGGACTGCAACTTTCACTAATAAGATGTCATTTAACATAAAATAAGTAAAAACAATATAGAAATCAATTGTTTCAATATAGTTCACCCATGTTAAAACCATATATCCTAATTAGAGATCCATTTGAATCTAGAGAAGGGTGATCACCTCCTAATTAGAGATCCATTTGAATCCAGAGAAGGGTGATCACCAGCGTAAACAAAATGATATTGAGCAATTGTAAAAATTGTCATTCTATTAAAAACAATCTATCCAATTCATTAATATATAAGATTATTAAAAATATAAACATATTGGGATAGAAATCTATAAAAAGGCAATCAATCTTGCAACAAATTTTAAGAGCCATAGATATTGTAGTTGAAATTAGATCGATTTAGAAGTCGGTATTAAGAAATGACAAGATCGATCACTCTAGTAGCAAATTAAGCAATCGTTGAAAAGTAGAGGCAATACCTCTTTACTTGCGACATTAAGAGACTGAAATACGATGAATCCTGGAAATTTGGTTGAGGGGCGAATTCGGCGGATGATTCGCAAAGGCGCAAATTCGCTAATAAGGAAGATCGAGAACAAGGAAAATTTGTTGATTTGATTGACAAGGAAGATTGAGCTATAGAGCAGAGATAATCTCCTGCTTTGATCGAGAAGTTGACGATGATGGATTTGAGCTGCGATTTTTAGGTGGGTAGTCTAAAAGTGCCGATTCAATAGCTTAGGCCATTATCTTTCTTCTTTTTTAATTTGAATGCTTTTTACTGTTTATTAATAATTTTTTACATTTATTTAACAAAGTGTTAGTCACCAATAAATACATACATTTATTTAACCGAGTTCTACACTTCTACCTATACATGATTTTAAAAAAATGTCTAAAGAATTATCTTGTCACACATATGTGTCAAAATATATTAGATATTATGACACTTTTACATGTGTCAACAAAAATGTGTGTCAAGAAATGTAACTTTTCTTGTAGTGTGATCTAATTAAAGTTTAATACTCCGTATAACATTTCTACGAATTTATAAAACTACTAATGATAGTTTATGTTTGTAGAAAGAAGTAAGAGTTCTTTTATCTGAGTATGATATTCCTATGTCCTTTGCACAAGAAATGGCTTAAATGAACATTATCAAAGGTTAAGGTTTGTTATCTGATGATGGACTTAAGTAATGTGCTTTGCAGGTTAAATTTTCTTGGAAATTTCTTATCAAAGAATGGTTCCTTATTTACTTCTAAGTTTTTTATGTTTACCATTCGACTTAGGAAGGTCATGGTTGTAATGTTGCTTTGCAGTTTTCAGGTGCACTTGTCTGCTTTTTATTTACTTTTTCTATTGCTTCCTGAGTAAGGGGGTGTTTGGATCTGATTCTTAAAACTGCTTCAGCCCCTTCAGGGAGCAGAATCAGAAGTTGGAGTGTTTGGGTGAAAGTCCAGAAGTGATTCTGGTGCTCTAATTTACTTCTGCTTCTAAAAACTGGTTTTGATTCTGCTTCTGCTTTAAAAAAGAAGCAAAATCAGAATTAGTTCCAAACACCCCCTAAACCGTTTTTTAGTCTTTACTCCACAGGTTCAAACATCACACTATCTACCTTTAAAACCTTTCCCCCGGAACTGTATACTCCTTTAACACATGCAAAAATGTCCTTTCATGGTATTAAAAAGTTTGGGGAAATTCTCTTATTATGGATAATATTATTCTGTCATCAGGTGGAAAAGATAATCTTGTTAAAGTTTGAGGTGCTAAGTCAGGGAGAGAGCTGTGTTCATTGTCAGTGGAGGATGCTATTGTAAGATAGGGAGTATATTTTATTTAATTTTTAGGACACTTTCTGTTAGTCGCTGATGCCAGGAGCACATTCATCTCAATGTAATGTTGTTCTCCTTTCTGTTTTGCAGTCATGACCACAAGAATATTGTTCTTTGTGTCAAAGTGGAGTCAAAATGGTAACCAGTTGCTTACTGCTTGTAAGATCAAGTTATAGAAGTAAGGCTCCGTTTGTTTTATACTTTTAATGTGCTTTTGATGTGAACAAGAGATTTCACTACTTAGGAAACATCTTGGAGCATATTCAGTCAAAGTAATATCACTTTATTCAGCACCATAGTGTCATTAAGCTATATATTTATTTTGACAAGAAGCACAATTATTCTTTTAAGAATTTTTTGTTTTTTGCAAGTCTTGAACAAGGTTCAGTCGTCGTCAATGTATTCATTCCTTGGCATTTTTTTTTGCATAGCTACAATATTGACCATATTTTGTAGGTCTTCAGTTGCCTTTATAAAGGCCTTATACTCAATTCAATATTTTATTTATATTTTATACCTTTTAGGGACACAATACTCTGTATAAAGTTGGTTATTTTAAATAACCAACATTATTAGCATTTTTTTGGTATTGGATGAGTACCTTGATTATAAGTGATTACGTTGTATTACCCCATACTTTATGTAAAGATTTTGATTTGGTGTGCAAATGTGTTAAACTATGAATTTGGAGCAAATGTGTTAAACTATGATTTGGTAAGCAGCATGTTAAATTGTCCATTTCGGGCAATATAATAAAAAGAAAACCAACGGCAATTAATATATGTAAAAGTTGCTGCCACCGCATAAACCAAATTTTGTCAAAGTATTCGCCGCGGTCGTATAGAAAGACTTTCACACGTTGCTCGCATTCGCTGCGGTTGTAGAAAGACTTTCACACATATGCATAGGTCATAGAAAGACTTTCACATGTATGAGGTACTTATATCTTGTGGGCAACAATATCTTATATTGTTTTAATATAAGATAGTACTATTGACTTTCACACGTATGAGGTACTTATAACTTAATTCATATTAATTACGTCATATGTCCCAATATCTTTATCTCACTTTTCTTTTTAATATGTTTCAATAAGTTCTCCCATACCATGTTTGATAATATTTGTACATCATACCCTTTCGATCATCTCTGTATCGAATATTGTCCTTATTCTATTACGGAGTATTATACTAGTGATATAACTATGATCGACACTACTTATTGCTATTATAATTATAAAATAATGCCTCATTATAAATGAGTTCTTGCCCCCATATGCATTTTTTAAATTGCAAATATTTTTCTCATTAATATATATCTTCTCAATTAGATTATACAAAAAAAAAAGAATTAAAAAAAGTGACTGGTATAGTACTTGTGCATATGCACAAGGGAATGACCATCAGTGCATATATCCGTATAAAGATGGTTTACAAAAATATGATTCATTACTAGAGTAGTAATGAAATCATAGTAATTCATGTTCAAGTTTTGAACTTTAGTTACCACAGCACTACGTTGTAGTAATGAATAGTCATATTTATGTAAATAAGTTTTATTTTAGTAATATTCTCGTAAAAAACCCATATCCGTATTCATGATCCGATTAAATATAAAAAAAATTAAAAAATGTTACATAATTAGAAAAACTAAGTACAATTGCTTTTGATGACATCATCATTATTTAATTAAATAAGTAACATTTTAATAGTAGTAATAAATTAATTGTCGTCATTTTTTTTTCTCTGACATATTTCAAAGGTGATTTTGCATTAAGCCCACATGCATATTTATATGCCTACACATGTTTTCCATAGAAAATATCGCATTCCAATACTGCTCGAAAACTAATTTCTTTTTCATAAAGAGACAGGTCACAAAGAAAGATATAAACGGACAATATGTTTTTATTGGACTTATGTAGATCCCAGATCAAGTTAGATTTACATAAATCGGACTAAATTAAAATAGACTAAAACAAATTGGGCCATACCAAATTAGTAAAATTCACATGCACCATGCTTTTATCATATCACTTAAATAAATCGGAAGATTTCTTTTTTAATGAGCATATGTAAGTTTGGTGTCATGAAAAACTCAAACGTTATTTAATTTGACATATGTTTTGTAAAAGTTGGAGCATAATAAAAATGATAACATTTTATAAAAAAAATCAATTGATTGCCACATCCATGGCAACAAACTATTTGATTTGAAATTGATTATAATTGATAGGGGTTGGGCGTATTAGCGTGTGACACAACAATTTTAGTTTTATCATATGAAAGTTATTTTTTCGTGAGGACAATTCTATTTAATATGGTATGTTTCTTTCCTTGTAGTGTTTAGGATTGGTGTATAGTATTTCTTATCGGTGGAGCTGATAGCGGAGTTTTTGCTTCTGTGATTGGCATGCTTGTTCTACACATTTTTTCTGAAATTGTAACACTGATAGATGACGGTGATGGGTTCTTGGGCACTCGCCCTCCTCTCGAACCACCATGATGTTTGTGATAAAATTTGTATCCGAATGCACCTCCTTTTCGGTGACTAATCAAATTGACAATTTTGGAAAACTTTTCATATTAGTTCATGGATTGACACGAAAAACACGTTGATTTTTTTGTCGAGGAAAAGCAAGGATCGGTTTTTTCATGGGTAGCGAGGAGCGGGGAGCCAAAGGGAAAATTTTCTTCTAAAATATTGGTTTCAATTTTGTTGATTGACTATTTTGTTTTTTGCTACAATTTTTTGTTTTTACTTTATTGCTTTAAATTGAGTCAGATTGTAGTTGATTTAATGTAGTAAAGAGACCAAATTGGACATGATTAACTTTTGTGATTATCAAGTGGTTTTGCCCCTCCAAGGTGATCGCCTAGTTGAATCTTATGTGGTTGTAATATAAAACCATGGAGAGAAACATGCGGAACGATCAAATTGTTTCCAATTATGAACGCCATATTTTCACTAATTTTTCTACTGACTCAAGGAAAGGGTCTTCTGAAAATCGCATCACCACATCTCTGGATTTTGAAACTCAATTTTATAGACAAAAACACCAAGTCATATGCAATTTGAACGTAGTTTCATTTGACCTGGAATTGAATTGAATTGAATAATGGCCGGGGAAAACAATCCTCAAGAGATGAAGGTGGTGAATGGACCAAATGGCTATGTGCTCGAAGATGTTCCTCACTTGAGCGATTACCTCCCCAACATCCTTGTATGCTAGCGCTTACGCCTCTATCATCTATGTGAATGCATGCGTGTCTATTTGATTGATTTAACCATTGAATAAATGTGTTGTCATGCATATTCTTCTTGCCTTCATCTTATGCCGCATGAAATGATTGAATGATAAAATTAGCCATTCTTGAAAACTAAGCGAAGAGAGCACCTTATAAGCACCGGTAGACTCAGAAATTTCCGGTAGGAGTATTATAATATAAAAAGAATGCATATAAACACACACATATATTAAAATTATGGAGTAAATATACCTAATAGTTTTTTTTTTGGGGGGGGGGGGGGGTGCACTTCGTCCCCAGGCTACTTGTAAGACCATAACCACCGATGACGAATGCATTGTAATTGTTGATGTTATTTTTTAAAATCCAAAACACTGCCATGTTATTAAGGAGTTATAGCTAATAGCTAAGAAACTACGCATGAAATGTTTTGTATTGGAAAAAAATGATTAAAAAGAGGATGGGTACACGTGAAATGTTAAGAAAAATATGTATTGGAATGAGCTATAGGGTTATTATACTAGATTTAAACATGAGCATAATGGTCTAAAACTCTAAATATGAAAAATTAAATCATACTAGATTTAAACATTAGCAAAGTGAACTTTTTTTTTATACTGGAAACCTCA